CCTCCCAAGAGCGAATCATCTGGGACACACACTATAGGCAGCTTAACACGAGGACATTCTACAGACTAATGTACGAGTACTCGTCACGGCATTATGCTTGCCCTACCGCCACAGCACGTACCAAAACACAAACACAAACCATGAAAGATTAATAAAAATATATATATTTGCACGACTTACTGATGATTTTAATATTTTGGTACTGCTCCATTATGCTTAATCACGTCCCTCGCCGGCAGGAATACTCACGACATAAATTCTTGAGGGTATGGGTATTTGGTGGTCCCACAGATGAATCGTAGGTCTAGGGGTTCACTATCTCTGGTCCGGTACACATATCCCCGATGGATACAGTTAAAGTGAAGATGCTTCATCGGTCCAAAGTACTTCGACCACTGATATGAAGAATCAGTGTGGGCTTGGAGAGGATCGGTTCCTACTTTGTCAGTGACTAATGAGCCCACTTCCAGGCACACTTCTGTTAACATTCTTACAGACACCTCTGACAGAAGACGTGAGGCTTTTTTCTATAAATTGTTCTAGCAGTTATCTTTAAATGTACATTCTCGCTACTTCTCTAACACAGATAGGTACAAACAGATGCCTACTTTGAGTGGGCGAGGGGCCTTGAAACGCTTGCACCCAGTTCCTCATGAACGCTTCACACACACCAACCATCCTCCACAATTTTTTTTTTCCGCCTGGAGCCACGCATTGTGAAGCCCTATGGATCTGACTATAGTTTCAGGTGGTTCAAGGCTACCTTTACCCATAATTAAACATGTATAGCCGCAAAAAAGGGAACACCGGGGCAAAAGATTGGCGGCTGATCAGACAAAAGTGCAACACTCCTCTCGACAAAAAGAATGCAGATGTAAATATATACAGACTTTGCAAAAGCCCTTCGACAAGCGTGACCATTGGCGTAATAGCGCACAAAATTTCGTTGCTAAAGGAATAACATGAAAATTTGGTCGATAGTCTATAATTTCCTACACAAACAGAACACAAAGAGTAGTAATTCAACAGAGTCAAGTTCCGTGGCAGCTACGGTGAAAAGCTCTGTATCCACTAAGGCGACAGTACCGCTCCCATCTTGTTTCCTCATCATCATATTCTGACGAATAGAACCAATAGAAGGATGTCGAACCACAGCACCGTGTCTTCCTTGCAGATGACAACCCAATCTGCACGACAGTGTCCTTTCCATTGCAGACACTGCAAGGCTACCAGGCGGACATTAACCAAATCTTTCAGTGGGCTGCAGAAAACAATATGAAGTTCAACGATGAGAAATTTCAATTACTCAGATATGGTAAACACAGAAATTAAATCTTCATCATAGTACAAACAAATTCCAGCCGACAAAATAGAGCGAACACCAAATGTCAAAAGACCTTGGAGTGATCATGTCGGAGATCTCACCTTCAAGGACACATAACATTGTATGCAATCGCTATCGCTAGAAAAATGACAGATGGGGGATAATGAAGAACCTTCAAAACTAGGGATGCAAGCCCATGATACACTCTTTATGGTCACTCGTTCTATCTGGCTGGAATATTGCTGCACACTAACAGAAACCCTTTCAAGGCAGGTGAGAATTGCTGACCTAGAAATGTAACAGAGAACCTTCACAGCTCGCATAACGAGATAAAACACCTCATTACTGAGCGCTTGAGGTTCCTAAACCTGTAATTCCCTGGAAACGCAGGCGTGGAGAGATACATGATATATACACCTGGAAAATCATAGAGTGTACTAGTACCGAACATGCACATGCGAAAATCACTCGTACTACCAAAGCAAAAGACTTCAGACGATGCAACTTCCCCCCAATGAAAAGCAGTGGTGGTCACTAGCACGTTAAGAGACCATACCAAAAAGATGGTCAGGGGCCCGAGACTGATCAACTGCCTCCCAGCATACATAAGGTGGATTTACCAATATACCCCTGCAGTCTTCAAGCTGGCACTGGACGAGCACCTAAAGTCGGTACCTGACCAGCCGGGTGTGGCCTCGTACGTTGGTTTTCGTGCAGCCAGCAAGTAACAGCCTGGTTGATCAGGCTCTGATCCACCAGGAGGCCCTTGTCCCACAGACCGGGGCCGCGGGGGGCGTTGACCCCTGGAACTCTCTCCAGGTAAACTCCAGGTAAAACTCACCACGGCAGGCCACGTGAGCACTTTGGAGTATCTGTCCTAGTGTGCCCGTCCAGGCCGTGACGTCATGCTAACGGCTGCTCCCGGCATAATGCCTCTGACAAAAAAAGACCCCCTGTATAAGTAGGCCTTTGATTTTCGTCAGGCATTATGCCGTGGCGCTAATCCGGAATAAGGCCGTTACGAGCACTGTAACTATGACACACAACTACAACAACTGAAGAGACCTGATTAGAACAACTGAATAACTGAATAACAATAACTGGCGCAACTACAGCAGCTCAGGACACACTGGAACGCTTACGCAAATAAGGACACACACACTACACAACAGCCTGTGTCTATCGACCATGTGCCTAGGACAAAATGGTAACTTACTACCGTGCAACTGAGGACATACTGATAGAATCTGCAACAGCTGGTTACACACATACACACGCACACTGAACCAACTAACAACTGAAGACACCTGAAGCAGCTGCATGCTTTGGGGATTTTGGTGTTTGATGAAAAGTATAAGTGCCACTTTCCTGGTTTTATATTTACATTAGTATGGTTTAATTTATAGTCCAATATCTGCTATGAATCGTCTGAACGACATCAGTCCTTAATCGTTGATTAATCTAATGAAAAGTAATGTACCGCCAAATATAAAGGCTTTGAAAGCACAGATCTGCCAAGACATTGTCAATTGAAAAAAAAACTGAAAATAATTGATCCTTTAGTGTTAACGGGAAAATGATTTACCGGACGACATCATACATGAGCAAAACACATCATACCTGATGTGCTTTGCTCAATGAAAATGTTTATGCATCGTTCAGTTTATAGTAACCAAGACTCCAATTTAAGGTACGCAGGTGAGAACTTCTGCACTGAATCCACTCTTGAGAGAACAGAGACTTCGAGGCAATCATGGTACCTAATTATTGTAATAATAAAAAAAGAAATCCACAGTCGATATTAAGACATGCTAACTTTGTTAATCAGACAAAAGTTTAATCGGCGACAGTGTTGACATCATCAGAATTCCAAAACACAAAATCCTCAGGAAGAATTTAATACCACCCTTACCTTTTTTTTTTTTTTTGGTTTTTTTTTCATTAATAGATTGTAATCCACAATTTGTAGCAAGACACGTAGGAACCTGACTGTTTTATACACTGTAAGTAAAAGACTAGAGGAAGTCTGGAACCAATAGTCCAACAAGTGGGTAACAAGTATTTACCCAGTGATTTTCAAGAGTAAATCCTTCGAATATATTTTTCATAGCTCCCCTGTTGAGGAAGTGGGTTCACCATAACTTGACAGTGCTTTGTTGGAGAGGAGAACAAACAGGCAATAAAATAAGAGTATACAGTCAAGTATACACTTAATCCTCCTGTATGACCATAAAGTTCCAACTTTATTGATCTAGTTTCTTCAAGAGGAATCTTGATAAGTTCCTCGAATCAGTATCGTGGTCAGACCAAACTATCATTTGGTACATTAAAAGTGCGTGCAGAGCAAGCAGTGCCTGCTTGGGTGATCAAGCCTTGACTATTATGCAGGGCATTGCAGAAATATGTGTCTGAAAAAGCGCTCATTAATTTTCAGTGTATAAGATTTGTTCTGAAATAGATTGACGTACTCGACCTGGTCAGGTGGACCAGAAGACGTATGTAGGAGTGCGAGTCCTGGAAGACGGTGGCTGGAGCAAGACAGGATGGTTTGGTGTTTGTGAGTAGGAGAGGGGGAGTTGTATGTTTTATGCCAATCCGTGTTTAATTAATTTTGTATGTACATTCCCAATATTTACCTGTAGACCCTATGTGTTCAGAGTCCAGCCTGTGTATTAGAGAGGCCGGAAGAAGAAGGGGGGGGGGTGTCAAGGAGCCCCGTGTTAACATGTCAGTTTTCAAATCAATATACTCAATTTTTTATATGTTCGTTTTGTGCCTTCCTGATAGTAATAAAAATTATAGGACTATTTACTAATGTTTATTTGCGAAGAAAGAAGCTTGGCCAGATTGCTTTTGCTTAATATTTTAAATGCGCCAAGAGCAGGCTTTTACTCTCAGGGCGCCAGCATTTATTTTTACGGCTAATGTAATAACTAGGTTACATTGACCATGTACATTATTCTTTTATAGAAGAAATAACTTAATGAAAGGTTCATTAAAAATTGGTCTATTATAATTTCAGAGATAAATGGGAGAGAAAGTGTCCCTTTAAACTTTTCTAAATGCCCACTGAAGACTTTTTTCAAGTCAATCGAACATGCAAATATATGCCTACAAGTAGAGAAAGAGTCTCACATTCATACATACACATATATCAGCACTTTCAGAACATCATAAACACAAAGACACCTTACATACCAGTAAACGAATTTTTATATTTTTTACTGAGTATTATTGATGACTGCAAGTAGTATTAATTTTGCATGCGTTGAATTAGAATAGAAAAGGCTCACAGATTGCGGCATACCTTTTCACAATAGCACAGAGACGGAAGATCATCACAATTTAAAGAATACTTGATCTTATTAAAAGTGAAGGAGTTTCACTACCAAGATACACCTATAGGGGATGCGTAAACGCCGGGCATTCATACTGCAGGTACTCAAATACTGAAAAGGAACTCGATACTCTGCGAAGAATCACATTTCTTCATTTCAACATAGAGTGACACCTCAGCGTTTCAATTATAACTTATGTTACCAAGGAAACTGATGTAGTGATTAAAGGAGACACATTGACCTTGAGAAGATAAAGGAATGGACGTTAGGGGAGACGGAGGGACGGGGTAGAGAGCGGGTGAGGGCTTGTGGTGTATATAAGGGGCCGATAGAGCTGCTTGGGCACCAGCACCATGAAGACCTTGGTTGTGTTCGCACTGGTGGCTGCCGCCTCCACCTACTCATTCAGCGGCTTCCAGAGAGACGAACCTGATGGTAAGTATGTTATCTACTGTCGTTGTAGTCTTTGGCGGGGTAAATAGTTAATCAGTTGCTAGGACTTTGCTACAGTTAAACTGAGCCACAAAACTAGCATTTTTTTTTTTTTTTTTTTTTTTTTTTTTCTCTGAATTAACTCGCGAGTTTGATGCTTCAATTTAAGCTTAATAATAATGAGAGATCAATAATGGTAAACAGCAGGAGAGAGTGCTGAACCTATAGATTTGATTAAGTGAATATCGACAAGTGGAAATAAACACAGTCCTGAAGGAAAATATTTACATATCGACAACGTAACCTAGGTTGAGCTTTAACAATGATTCCCTGATTCCAGTGTCTTTATTTCCATGGGTCAATATGATTTAAACACGACCTTGAAGAGTCCTTTAGTACTGCAATAACTCTTTCTGTTTTCTTTAATTTTAGCAACAGAAAATAAAATTTAATGTTGAGTCATAAAAGCACATTCACGTTAAAATAATTGGATATTGCTTCATATTTGAGCAAGTGTATCATACGTCATCCATATATCTCAGTATCCGCTATCACTCATAATAAACCTGATTGTGTTCCTCAGCAGTGCCACTGGCACAGAAACAACATGACATCAGCTCGCTACTTTACAAAGTGTATGAGCCCCTGCATGATGCCAACCTGAAGACCCTTGTTGACACCTTTGACCCAGAGGCAAACGCATCTAACTTCCCTGACGGTGGTGTAGCTGTCCGTAAGCTATTGTCTGAAGAGAACTCAAGGATCACAAATTTTTTGGAGGAAAAACAACATTTCTTTTTTTTTAATATTTTTTTTTTTTTCAGTTTTCAAATGACACGCAGAGAGAACAAGCATTACGCTCACTAATGTTTCCTGCAGTGCAAAAGACTGGAAAACAGGCATTAGAAATCTGCCTTACTTACGTTAAACATCATGAACGAGAAGAATTTATTTATGCCTTGTATGCAGCAGTCAGACACTCACCGCTTTCTAGAATGTTGTGCTGCCCCCCCCCCCACCGCCCCCCAATTACTAGATCCTTCCACACTATTTCACAAGGCGGCTGAAGTACTTCAAATAAGCATACAGAGCCAAGATGACTACCACACCAGGCAAATTCGTGACAAACATCACAGCACCCCGAATAACCCAGAGTACAAGATGCCTACTCACTGAAGGACATCGCCTCAGTACTCATTTACGTTAATTGGGCATTTAGACTATCCCTATCTGGTGAATGACACATTCGGCCCTCATATTGAACGTAAGGGTGAGACCTTTTTCTGGATCCATCACCAGCTCAACAACCGCATTGAACGGCTGACGTTTATCCAACCACCTCGACCTTGTGCAAAAACTTCACTGGGATGAGACCTCTCCATGACGGCTTCCATCCTCATACTACATACAAATACGGCGACAGGTACCCAATTCTACCCCGATGATATCCACATCGAAATGTAGATCATGTTGCTGAGTTTCAAGGATTTGGCTTGTACTGGGAGAACCGCGTTTTTCGAGATGCAATCGATCATGGTTACATCATTGACAAGGAGGCTCCAATGTAGACATTACAAATGAAAGAAGGAAATGATATCCTTGGAAATATTATTGATCTTCTTTGACTTCCCCAATGTTGATACTATGGTTCCCTCAACAACTTGGCTCACGTCTTGCTTGGTCCTACTATAATCACAGGGTGACCCCATGACAAGTACCATGAGGCTTACCCAGTGTCTGGAGCATTATGATACAGCTACCCGCGACCAGCATTCTACCAGCTACCACAAGTACATTGAATGACTCTTCATGAAACATAAAGACCGTCTTCGCACCTATTATAATAAGGAAGAGCTTTGAGTTCCCGCGGTGTTGCTTACAACAATAAACATTGGATGGTACATAAGACTTACATTGAAGATTATGAATTAGTCTTTTAAATGCTGTGGATGATAAAGACGAAGTTTGAAGACTTGGAATTAGTACTTATATTCAACGTCCTGAAAACATAAAATTCTCCTTCAAATAGTCTGCATAATAAACTGAATAATGATGGTATGTTTACTACAATCCGTATCTTCGCCTGGCCACAACCGTGACAGCAACGGCGTCATCTTCCCATTCAACGAGGGTCGTTGGCGAGCTATTGAACCTAGACAAGTTCTTCATTTATATCTATGTTACCAAGGAAAGCTGATGTGGGTAATTAAAAGAGTCACGTTGACCTTGAATATGAAGGGGATTGGACGTTTGGTAGACAGGAGGGACAGGTAAGACGGGTTGAGGTCTCGTTGTGTTTATAAGGGGCCGAAGAGCTGCTTGGCACCAGCACCATGAAGACCTTGGTTGTGTTCGCCCTGGTGGCCTGCCGCCTTCCGCTACTCATTCAGCGGCTTCCAAAGAGACGAACCTGATTGTTATGTTTACTACTATCGTTGTAGTCTTTGGTGGGGTAACTATTTAATCAGTTCCCAGAGTCTATTGCTGCAGTTAAACTGAGCTACAAAACTGCAGCTTTTTTTTGTCTCTGAATTAAACTCGCGAGTTTATGTGCTACAATTTTAAGTTTAACAATAATAGAGAGCAACAATGGTAAACATTGGTCAAACAGTATTATTATCAGGAGAGAGTGGCTGAACTCATAGATCATGATTGAGTGCATATTTGCAATTATAAATAAACACAGTCTTGAAGTAATATATGATGCATAAATTATATATATATAAATATATATATATATATATACCATATATATAAATATATATATATATATATATATATATATATATATCTCAACCAACTTAACCTAGGGGTGAGTTTTTATACAAATTGATCCGATTCCAGTGTCATTTATTCCATGGGTTCAATAGAATTAAACAGTTTCCTTGAACAGTCCTTTTAGAACTGAGAATAAAGGTTTCGCTTATTTTTTTTTTTCATAATTTTAGTAGTTTTATATTATATAAAATTAAACTTAATCTTGAGTCAAAGAACAAATTGAAGTTAAAAATAATTAGTTATTGTTTCATAATTGAGCAAGTGTATTATACATCATCCATATATCTCAGCATCCACAATCAATTACAATAAACCGATTGTGTTCCTCAGCAGTGCCAACTGGCACAGAAGCAAATTACATCAGCTCGCTATTTCTTTACAAAGTGTAATGAGCCCCTGCATGAAGCCAACCTGCAGACCCTTGTTTACACGCTTTTGACCCAGAGGCCAACCTATCTAACTGTTCCCTGACGTTGGTGTAGCCTTGTCCGTAAGCTACAGAAGGAACTCAAGGATCACAAACTGGTAGGAAAAGCAACAATTACTTTTCAGTGTTCAATGACACCATAGAAGAACAAGCTTATTACGTGCTCACTAATGTTCTCCTCAGTGCCAAGAACAGGAAAACGGCATTAGCTAATGCTGCTTACTTCCGTCAACGTCTGAACGAGGAAGATTTTATTTATGCTTTGTAGCAGCAGTCAGACACTCACCGCTTAGCTAGGCAATGTAGTGCTGCCCCAATAACGAAACCTGCCACACTTTTTGCACAAGCGCTGAAGTACTCCAAAAGCATACAGAGTCCAAGATTACAGCTACACCAGGCAAATTCGAGACAGACTTCACAGGCACCCCGAATAACCCAGAGTACAAGAGTTGCCTAGTCCTGAAGACATCGGGCCTTAGTTACTCACAACTTTAATAGGCATTTAGAGTATCCCTTTCTGGTGGAATGACACTTTTTCGGCCCTCATATTGAACGTAAGGGTGAGACCTTTTTCTGATCCATCACCAGCTCAATAACCGCTTTGACGCTGAACGTTATCCAACCACCTCGACTTGTGCAGAACACTTCACTGGGATGAGACTCTCCATGACGCAGGCTTTCCATCCTCATACTACATACAAATACGGCGACAGATTCCGCAATTCGACCCGATGATATCCCACATGAAAACGTAAGATCATTTGCAGAGTTCATGAACCTGGACGTACTGGAGAACCGCATGCCGAGATGCAATCGATCATGGTTACATCATTAACAAGGACGGCACCCAAGGTAGACATTGAAATGAAGAAGGTATTGAATCCTTGGTAATAATATTGAGTCCTTCTTTGTACAGCCCCAATGCTGAGTACTATGGTTCGCCTCTACAACTTTGGCTCACGTCATTGCTTGGTCACCAGGTGACCCCCATGACAATACCATGAGGCTCCCAGTGTCCTGGAGCATTATGAGACAGCCACCCTCGACCTCAGCAATTCTACCAGCTACAAATACATAGATGACCTCTTCAAGGAAACATAAAGACCGACTTCACCTTATAATAAGAAGACGTGAGTTCCGCGGTGTTGCTATCAACAATATTAACATTTATGTCCATTGGAAACTTAATTGAAGATTTAAGAAATAGTCATGTAATGCCTGTGGATGATAAAAGACGAGTTGATAGACATTGGAGAATAGCACTTATATTGCAACGTCTGAAGCACAAGATTTCTCCATCAATATCGGACAGAAATAAACAATAGAGTGATGTGATGTTTTATCTACAATCCGTATCTTCGGCCTGGCCACACGTGACAGCAAACGCGACCATTTTTCCCATTCAACGAGGGTCGTTGGCGCGCTATTGAACTAGACAAGTTTCTTACAAGACTCCGTAAGTATGAAGATATTTTTCTCGAAACAATTTGAAACAGATTTATTGTTCACATATTCATAGGAAACTTACTGTGATAAAAAACATAATGAAACAGATTCAAAATTTCTCAAAACGTAATTTACTTAAAAAAATATTTTATTTTATATGATATAGATTTGCTTTAATATTTTCCTCAGTAAAGCCTGGAGAAAACCACATTGGTGCGCAAGCTGTTGAGGTCTTCGGTGACAGTACGCTGACGTGCTAGCATCAACACCTTACACGACAAAGTTTGAAGCAGCACTCACAGCAGGCAGCGACCTGCACCTGAGCAGTTCGTGAGCGCCGCTGGACTGCCCAACAGGCTGCTCATACCCAAGGTCACGGGCTGGTGTAGAGTTCAAGCTGGTGGTGGCTGTGACTTATGGTGCAGCAGATGCCGCATTAATGACCTCGAGACATTTGAAAAGTACCACACTATGCTACAAGGGAGTCCACCCGGACAAGAAACCTATGGCTACCCTCTGACCGTCACGTCCCTGACGTAACGAATTTTCCACGACAATTCCCAACTTCGGCCGAAACCATTGTCCAGGTCTTCAACCATGACGAGTCACATCTCGTCACCACTGACTTGGAATTTTTTCCAGTCAGAACCTTAGCAAAGTAACCATTTATGAAGGGTTCAGGGAAACTGGCAGGCGGACTGAGTCCTGGAGATGGGAAGTACAGTGCCTTGCACTCTGAAGGAGGGTGGTTATTGTTTTGCAGTTTAAAACTGAATGTGGTAAAGCACGCCTTCTGGCAAGACAGTTGATGGAGTGAATGAATTGTGAAAGTTTATTCTTTTTCGGGCACCCTCCTTGGTGGGAATCGGCGCAGTGTATAAAAATATTAATAAAAAAATTTGCGTTTCAAATAGAAAAGAAATGTGTCGCTAATTTTGTTGGATAAAACTTTCCCATAGTTAATTTTAAGTGGCTTATAAAGTATGCACACACAATATTATATGGACACCTCACAGAGAACACCATCATCAAAAATCATAATATTTTTTAACCAAAATACATATATTGTAATTCGTAATTATTAATGGTGACTTACATTATATGA